AACTACTCATAAAGGAAAGGTGAAAATGGGTTTCTCTGACCAGGCCACCCCTTGGTAAGAACATGGGGGCTGTCAGAAGCGAGAAGGGGCCATCGAAAAGCACACCAAGAAGGAAGGGAACTGGAAAGGTTCAGTGAAGGAGTGGGCTGCACTGTTTAGAAGGAGACGCTGTGAAAATGAGTAACGGTAAGGGAAGGTTCTCTGTATAATAAAAGATTAAACGGAAGAGAGCAACTAACAGATACGACCAAGCATCAACAGATGTTTGGAATGCAACTATAAATCAACGTTTCGCATTATCGCACACCTGAGCATCAACATACTTTCTTATTCGAGTGTAATTATAAATTGAGGATTCGTACTAATGCAGATAATAGTGTTTGTTATCCCCGGGTAGTTGACGACAGTTACAGCGAAACTGACCAACTCTTAGAAAGGGCGTCTAATGTTCGCATAGCGAGCGCATTTCACCGGCATAAAACTAATGATCTTGTTTGTACATCGACATAAAACACAATTTAGAAAGCTCACAAGGCAGCATAAGAAAAAACACAAAATAACAAATCGAGGAGAACTTTAGGAGATTACGACAGGTAAAAAGTAGAACGAAAAGATACGCATAATAAAGTTGGTATGCGGAACCAAACCCAAAAGAGCACAAGAAAAGAAAAAGAGAACGACAAAAGACAACACAAACGGGAACAACGAATATAAACCGGTTTGCTCGCACGGCACGCTTTAAAAAAAAAGACCATGCGACAAAAGACAACAACAACAGGAAGAACGAATCTAGACCGCTTCGATCGCACGGCACGCCAAAAAAAAAAAAAACTAAGCAACACACTGCGACAAACGCACGAGCAAACGAAACAGAAACGACACGAAACCAAAAGAAACCAACTAAAAAGGAAAAAGTGAGAAGCACAAAGCAAACTGCAAAACGAAATAAGGTAGAAAGACCACAAGTTATCATAAGAAAGAGCGCAAAATAAAAAATCAAGGAAAACTCAAGAAAATTGTAAAAGTAAAAAATAAGAACGAAAAGATACGCATGAGAAAGTTGGTATGCGGCACAAATCCAAAAAAGCGCAAGTACAAACCAAGACGACAAAAGACAACAACAACGGGAAGAATTAGTCTAATGCTCGCATAGCGAGCGCATTTCACCGGCATAAAACTAATGATCTTGTTTGTACATCGACATAAAACACAATTTAGAAAGACCACAAGGCAGCATAAGAAAAAGCGCAAAATAACAAATCGAGGAGAACTTTAGGAGATTACGACAGGTAAAAAGTAGAACGAAAAGATACGCATAATAAAGTTGGTATGCGGAACCAAACCCAAAAGAGCACAAGTAAAAAAAAAAGAACGACAAAAGACAACACAAACGGGAACAACGAATATAAACCGGTTTGCTCGCACGGCACGCTTTTAAAAAAAAAGACCATGCGACAAAAGACAACAACAACAGGAAGAACGAATCTAGACCGCTTCGATCGCACGGCACGCAAAAAAAAAAAACTAACCAACACACTGCGACAAACGCACGAGCAAACGAAACAGAAACGACACGAAACCAAAAGAAACCAACTAAAAAGGAAAAAGTGAGAAGCACAAAGCAAACTGCAAAACGAAATAAGGTAGAAAGACCACAAGTTATCATAAGAAAGAGCGCAAAATAAAAAATCGAGGAAAACTTAAGAAAATTTTAAAAGTAAAAAATAAAAACGAAAAGATACGCATGAGAAAGTTGGTATGCGGCACAAACCCAAAAAAGCGCAAGTACAAACCAAGACGACAAAAGACAACAACAACGGGAAGAATTAATCTAGACCGGTGTGCTCGCAGGCCACTCTCAAAAACCCAAAAAACCAGGCGACAAAACACAACAAAGCGCAAAATAACAAATCGAGGAAAACTTTAGAAAATTCAAAAAGTTAAAAATAAGAACGAAAAGATACGCATGAGAAAGTTGGTATGCGGCACAAGGCCAAAAACAGCGCAAGTAAAAACAAATACGACAAAAGACAACACTAACGGGAAGAATTAATCTAGACCGGTGTGCTCGCAGGCAACTCTAAAAAACCCAAAAGACCACCGACAAAAGACAAAAAAAACATTAAAAACGAATCTAGACCGATTTGCTCGCACGGGGCGCTCCCCAAAAAAAAAGGCCAGGCGACAAAAGCCAACAACAACAGAAAGATTCGCATGAGAAAGTTGGTATGCGCCACCAAACCCAAATACAACACAGGTAAAAAAAAGAACACGGGCGAAAGACAACAACAACAGGAAGAGCGAATCTAAATCGGTTTGGACTACGGAAAAAAGACAACAACAACAGTAAGAACGAATATAGACCGGTTCGATCGCACGATACGGTAAAATAAAAAAGGACACGCAACACACCGCGACAAACGCACGAGCAAACAAAACAAACAACGATAGGGAACCAAAAGAATCAACAAAACCCAAAAAAAAAAAAAAAAAAAGCCACAAACCAATCATTTGGATGATGTGACTATAAGTAATAGTGCACATCTTACTTGTTCTTTAATAAGAAGAAAACTCTAAAAAACCCAAAAGACCACCGACAAAAGACAAAAAAAACATTAAAAACGAATCTAGACCGATTTGCTCGCACGGGGCGCTCCCCAAAAAAAAAGGCCAGGCGACAAAAGCCAACAACAACAGAAAGATTCGCATGAGAAAGTTGGTATGCGCCACCAAACCCAAATACAACACAGGTAAAAAAAAGAACACGGGCGAAAGACAACAACAACAGGAAGAGCGAATCTAAATCGGTTTGGACTACGGAAAAAAGACAACAACAACAGTAAGAACGAATATAGACCGGTTCGATCGCACGATACGGTAAAATAAAAAAGGACACGCAACACACCGCGACAAACGCACGAGCAAACAAAACAAACAACGATAGGGAACCAAAAGAATCAACAAAACCCAAAAAAAAAAAAAAAAAAAGCCACAAACCAATCATTTGGATGATGTGACTATAAGTAATAGTGCACATCTTACTTGTTCTTTAATAAGAAGAATATGTCACTTCTGATCACCTTTATCTCCCACTAATACTTATGTTGTTTTTATTAAATGATATGATACGTTGGACTAAAGGCAAACAAGAAATTAAAGACAATGCAATTATGCATGTCCCTACCGGCAAAAGAAACCCATCAAATTAGGACACTTCTTCACCCCCTTTGCATAAACTAAACGCAATTCCTAAAATCCCTACGCACTAACAAGGGAACGACAACTATACCAACTATAAAGGGGAAGAGCTAGGAAAACAAATAGTGAGCCAAAAGAACAGGTTTGGAGCAGCGATGACCATGGCGATAGCTGATATCGTTGTTGTTGCTTTGAAATAATTATGGCAATAGTTTAGAAAAATTAAATATGGCAAAAAATCAAAATTCAACATAGTTGTTGGTGTTTTTACTTCTTAGTATTGCGCTAATCATATCACCTAACTACCTATGTCCTCAGAAAGTTAAAGTCCAACTTAAAATCTTTTCCTCCTCTACAACTATTTCATAATACTTTAACATCTTTTCAATTATCTCCAACTGTTGAGATAAATTGTACAAAAAAGGAAAGATCAAGAAGTGATTGATGGAGGCTGACGTGCACGAGCCTTTGTTGAACTCTTTAACACATTGGTATACAAGTACTTTTTTTTTTGTCAATATGGGTATGAGCACTTCTACTATGCTATATAGTATTGGGGCTTTAATGTACAACTTAAAGTTGTACCATAACATTAAATGTATAAGTTTAGGTTGTACCATGAAACAATTTTCACCATTATGTTATGAAACAACTTTACAACTTGAAGTTGTACCATATATAAAGGTACAAGTTCAAGTTGTACCGTAAGAGAATTTGTACAAAAAGTATAGGTACATTTTTAAGTTGTACCATAACGTAAATGTACAATTTTAAGTTGTACCATAAAAGCAAAACCCTATAGCACCAATACTATATAACATTGTAAAATTTCTCATATGGGTATACAAGTACTTTGATGTGTTAAGATTTTACTTTTTAGTATGTGGAACTTGCTGGGCCGGAATGGATAGAATAGGATGGGGTTACCTTGCCTGAATGTATAGATTTGGTCTAGTGGGCCTTGGTGGTGGCTGGACTTTGAAAATATGGGCTCGAAGTTGGACTTGGTAGAGTGTGTTCTCTATCATTTCCTTTGTTCTTTGACATAGAATTTTTACTTATATCCACGCCACGGATACGGAATATGGATTCCATGGAATTTGAGCAGAAAGAAATTTGAATATTCCACATTTGAATGCATTTTTAGTAAGATGTAATATAATTTTAACAAAGAAAAAGTATATACAATGGCATGATGAGTATTGAACTCAAAATAATAATTAAAATCCACCATATTATCCAACCAGTTAGACGATGATGAATATGAATTTGAGTTGAATAATGACAAGTTCATAGCATGTTCATCACCTATAACAATATGAATTCGAACCAAACTCATTTTCATTAGTTCGATTTTTAGTTTTTTTTTTATATAGGGATGACATATGTTTGTTTTTAGTTAGGTCATACTTACGAGATTCCGATCAACGACCTTCAATTTGAAAATCAGTGATATTACCCCTCGATGAAACTCTTTTTCGCGAGCTCAACTCCCAATTTAAAAGAGGTCCCTTTTGTCTTATAGTATATGCAAACAGCCCATCATCCATCTCTCAATTCCTCAAGATCTGACTTTCTATATTATCATTCATGGCACTTCAATTCCCTGATTACCGGCCCATCCCACCCCATGCCATGCCATGCCATGCCAACCTAGTTCATGATTCATCCCCCATAGCGAGTTCGATGGGATTCGCTTGCTGTACCTCCTAGCTTAGCTCTCTCCTATTTATAACAAAGAGAAACCCAAGTTGTAAAACATAAAACTCGAGCCAGTTTTTGTTCTACTTCCGCAAGAAAATATGCCACTTCTACTCTTGCTAATAACGTCCTTCCTCTCACTACTTCTTCTTTACACCATCATCACGATCAGGAAGAAGTCCTCATCGTCGTCGCTCCCAAACTGGCCTCTCTTGGGAATGCTTCCATCCCTCCTGTGGAACCTCTCCAACCTCCACGATTTCGCCACCCGAATCCTGAAAGCCCATGGTGGAACCTTCGCCTTCAGAGGACCTTCCTTCACCAACCTCGACTTCATCGTCACAAGCGACCCCGCCAACGTCCACCACATCGTCACAAAAAACTTCTCCAACTACCCCAAGGGACCCGAGCTCAAGGCCATTATGGAGCCGTTTGGCGAAGTCATATTCAACACCGACGGAGATTCATGGAAGACGAAGAAGGACATCATCCTCTCCCTCATCAAAACCGCCGGATTCGAGCGGCTTCTCATGACAACACTTCGACACAAGCTGGCCGACAGCCTCATCCCGGTACTCGACCACGCCGCGAGAAATCATGACGATGTTGTTCTGGACATGCAAGATGTGATGAAGCGGTTCACGTTCGATCTCACATGTTTGCTTCTCTTGGGAATCGACCCGGAGTGCTTGTCGACGAGTTTTCCTCGTGTTCCATGTGCGGAGGCGTTTGATGTGATAGAAGAGGCGATTGTTTACCGCCACTGCGTCCCGCCGTGGGTTTGGAAGTTGCAAAGATGGCTTCACGTTGGGTGGGAAGGGAAGACTGTCAAAGCGGAGGAGTGCCTTAATGCGTTTCTGGAGGAAAGGATTAGAGTGAAGATGGTGGAGAAACAGGCTAAGGAGAGTAGTCTTAATGATGATGGTGATGATAATTATGACTTGTTGATGAAGCTTATAGTCGAGACAGAGCGCTTGATGGGGGCGGCTTGTTATAGTAGTAAGGGAGAGAAGTTTGTGAGGGAGACTGTGGTTAGCTTGATGGTGGCCGGGAGAGACACCATTGCTGTTGCTCTCAGTTGGTTCTTTTGGCTCGTGACGACCAACCCAGGCGTGGAGGAGAAGATCCTCGAAGAATTGGATCGAGTCGTCATTACTCAAACAGGTAAAAAACGTTTATAAGACATTTTCTTTTCAAGATACTTATTATGACAACATTTAACCTTGTTTTGCGACGGAGTTTCGTAATAATAATGGATGAAATTTTTTGTACGTAGTGTGAACAAACTGGACAAACGATTCGACCCGACTCTTGATAACAATTTAGTTCTCTTAATTATTATGTACAATTGGTGAATCAGGTGAAGAACAAGGGATCTTTTCGAGCATAGAAGAGTTGAACAAAATGGTGTACCTCCATGGGGCCATAAGCGAGACTTTGAGGTTGTACCCTTCGGTGCCAAACGAGCCGAAGCAATCCATGGAAGCCGACGTGCTTCCCAGCGGCCATGCTGTCGGCAAGAACACTAGGATTTTGGTATCCATTTACTCGATGGGCAGGATGGAAGAAGTATGGGGTAAGGATTGGATGGAGTTCAAACCCGAGAGGTGGATTTCAGAAAGAACAGAAGGGAACAACATCATCAATGATGATGATGTTGACAAGAAGAAGAAATGTACCATTCACGTGCCATCCTACAAGTTTGCAGCGTTTCTGGCTGGGCCAAGGTCGTGCCCAGGGAGAAAAATAGCGTTCATGCAGTTGAAAAACATAGCCAGCTGTGTTTTGCGCAGGTATAAGATTGTTGTGGTGGACGATCATCCCGTCCTTCCGCTGCCTTCTATCATGATGTTCATGAAATATGGTCTCAAGGTTAGGGTTTTGAGCAGGAAACCAGAGAATAAGTAGTAGTGGCCCTTCTTCCTGTGTAGATGAAACCATAAAAGACACCATAAGTTAATGTGGCAAGTAGTCACTAATATATGTGTACGTATAACTCAATGTACCTTTTATTTGTTGATGAATATATATGCACCTTACTTTGTTCATATATAGCCGTACAAATGCCATGCATGCATGTACGTGTAAGAATAAGTGTTGAGGGCATACAAAATGCGCTTTGGTTACACTAATGAATTTCTATATACCTTATGCTCGAAGTACAAATTTTAAATTGTAAATATAAACAACAAACCAATGGATATCGAGAAAGCATTCATGTCATCCTAAACTATCATACAATATCTTTTCACAACTTCTTAGTTACACAACTCTTGAGATAAATTGTAAATCATAGCAATCATACTTATGATATGATTGCTAAAAACTTATGTGTATGAGCGTTTGCTAAACAACATGTGATAGTGATATATGAGGATTTTAGTATGTGGGACATGTTGGGCTGGAATGGGTAGAATAAGGTGGGGAATATATAGCCTGTAGGATATTGCCAAATGGGCTTTGATGGTGGCTGGACTCAGTAAATAGGGGCCCGAACTGGGCAGGATGGAGTATAGCGATGGGAATGGGGTGGTGCGGAATGGACAACTCGATATCAATACTCGTTTAGCATTGAGTGCGAGTCGTCCGAGTCAGGTTGGATAAATTTATCGACGTGGATATATTGGAAATTGTGTAGTTCGTTGATAAAAGGAAGATGTGTGATACTGCTACTTATGTGGAGCACGTAAAAGTGGTATGGATTGATAAACTTGTTTGGGTGTTGATAAAGGAGCTAGGTTTTTTTTTTACTTGAGAAAATAAACTATCTAGTCGATAAATGCACATAGTATTCAATAAGTCCCAATGTTTGCTTAACAATATTGTTTTTTTATTTATAACCCGGAATATCAGCAATCCATATGCCACATGAGTGACAGCGGGACCTACTAAATCTAGGGGGTACCTGCATGCTAACCATCAAGAACTTTGTCACGGCGTAGTGCCCGGTGTTGTGCTATCGTTATCGGGGAGACTTCGTCTCCTGTACCAAGGGTGCCTCCGGGAACACCAAGAAGGTGGTACTGGGATTCGAACCTGGGACCTTGTCACATCCCAAACTCGAAACCCAGCCCTTTTACCAACTAGGCTATCTTACCATGTGCTTAACAGTATCGTATCAGCATGTCGATCGAAAATTTTCAATAAAAACTTATGTCAATATATAATTTTACCAATTTAAAATATCTTATACAGTTGATTTATTCGGTACCATGTTTGTTATTGACTTACAGTTTTACAATTCTTAATAAATGCGTTGTGTATTCATTTTTGTTTTCAAAATAAAACATAATGGACAGTAGTTTGAACGGTCTTAGTACTCCAATACTCTCAAAGTCAAGCCCGTCAGTGAACTCGGAGGCCCAGAACTGTGAGTCTGTGACAGTCCGGGCCTAGCACAGGTAACACCAGGTCCAAGAGTACGGGAACAAAGCCCATTTCGAGACTTGGCAGAAGATACCAGCACGTGAATTTCATGCATGCATGGGGAAAGAGGCAAAGAGCAAAACCCAACATTGGCAAGTGGCAAGGCAACCAGCTATCTCTCACCAAATTGCACAAAAAAAGGAATTCTGGCCAAAACCCCTTTATTCTTTAGGAGACGGTGACGATGATACCCAATGAACAAACAAAATAGTTTCTATTATTCCTTGAACAGGTTACATGTAAACAGTAAAAACCATTTTGAGAACCCATGAATGACCAATTCAACATAAACCACGAACATAATGAACCTTTTTCCAAACTGAGCATCAATATAATGATCCTTCACCTGATGAAATATTCTAGATAAGGTGACATAAATTGATTTGTATAATTAGGTGCTATTAAAGTGATTCGAATTTAGAATCTTCAGGTCCCAGAATTACCACTAGACCAATGTCGTGTTCGCCACTTGATGATATACATATATCATGCCCTGTTAGAAACTCTGACCTTGAGTCCATACTTCATGAACATGAGAATGGAAGCGTCAGGAACCACAGGATGGTCATCCACCACCTCAAACTTAAACCTACACAAAACACAACTGGCTACGGCTTTCATCTGAACGAACGCTATCTTCCTCCCCAAGCACGTCCTCGGCCCTGCCATGAAAGCCGCAAACTTGTAAGCTGGCACGTGGCTAACCACCATCTTCTTCTCATCCGTAGACCCAACTGAAATCCACCTCTCGGGTTTGAAGTCCATCCAATCCGAACCCCATATCTCTTCCATCCTCCCCATGGAAAAGATGGATAGCAAGATCCTGGTGTTGCCATCAATGGCGTGCCCACTTGGGAGCACATCCGGCTCGATCGATTGCTTGTGTTCGTAAGGCACTGATGGGTACAGCCTTAGGGTTTCACACATGGCTCCATGAAGATACACCATTTTGTTCAGCTCATCTGTGGTCGGGAAGCTCGTCTCTTTCCCCATAACTTGATCCAACTCCTTCAGAATCTTCTCCTCCACGTTAGGGTTTTTTGCCACGAGCCAAAAGAACCAACTCAGGGCAGCAGCAATGGTGTCCCTTCCTGCCACAAGCAAATTAAACATAACATCTCTCAAGAACCCATCCGTTAATTTCCCCTGATCAATCCCCGCTTCCCCGGACAAGATCATCGTTAGAAAATCATCATCCACCACGGTTTCCATCTCCTTCTTCTCAAACGAATCTTTTTTCTTCACTCTGATCCTCTCCTCCAAAAACCCATCAAAGCATTCCTGAGCTTCCCTCATTTTCCTCTCATCCCCGATGCCAACCCACCTTTGGAACTTCCACACCGTGGTTGGGACACAGTGGCGATAGAGAATCACCTGCTCGATCACGTCGAACGCGTCGGCGTAGGGAAGGCTGGGGAGTTCGATGGAGAGGTATTTGGGATCAAAACCCATAACGAGGGAGCATATGGTGTCGAATGTGAGCCGCTTCATTAGCTCTTGCAAGTCTAGAGGAGGAGGAAGAGCATTATTATTGTGGAGTTTGGAGGAGGAGTTGTGGAGGATTGGGATCAGGCCGTTTTGTAGCTTGTCGTGCAGGGTTTTGAGCATTAGGTGGTGGAATTTGGTGGTGTTGATGAGGGAATGGATGGTTTCTCTTTGGGATTTCCAGGATTCGCCGTCGATGTTGAATATGCCGTCTCCCAGCGGGTCTAGTATGGCCTTCAAGTTTGGTCCCTGTCGAGGAGAAGGAGAGTAAAGAAAAATTGCATAGTACCGATATGAGAAGTCACTTTGATATACACTACAAGATAAAACCGTGTGGATCTAAACACAAAGCGAACAATATCTTGATCATAAAAAGGTTCAGAATGTTACATATACGTCAAACAGTTGGGTTAGTGTATTTGGGTAAGGAAAACAGAAAAAGGGAAGGAAAAAAATATATGTGAGGCCATTTTTTGTAGAGTGAGTTTTCATATACTTGCTACCTTCAAGTATTAGAATTGAATGATACAACCTTACATGTGAATTTTGAAATACATTCAAGTAGACAAAAACTATCAAATAAAAATGATTCATTTGTACAATTACATACGTATAGTTATATTTTCTATCCAACCGAATGACTTCATAAAGCTGAAAATTTTCATATTTCATCACCTTTACACATGCCACTGCTTTCTTATTGCACGAATACAATGTTAAAGAAATATATATCAAACATGAAGCGTATCCCGAAACTTGAATGTAAGATCTCTTTCCACATGAAAAAGAGAATTTATGAGGATAATTTCTTATCAAGGTAGCGTCAATGGAATTTAGCTATAATACTCACATCATCATTTTGTGAGAACATACTGCGCAAAATTGTCAGAAGTGCATTGAGTATTTTGTAATCGGTGAATGGACACAATAACAATTTGTAAGTAAAATGTCACTTGTCCATCCAACAATAATGGCTCCATATATGGACAAAGCCGACCAATCAGAGCTGCTTCAAGGAAGATAAGGATAGCTCATACCTGACATTGCCATGAGATAGCTAGGCAGTTGCGTACTCTTCTAGTTTATTTACTAACTAATTTGGTATTTGGATTGAGGTCTATTAGATTAACAAGTAAGCTAGATATTGAAAAGACTATATATCATTAAAGTCATCTTGCTAATTAATCGTAAAATCATCAAAGTTATCGCATAGTTTCAAACTTTACCATTATGAGAAAAATCGTTGCTTAATAGGGATAGTGACGTTAAAAGTTTTAAACGTTAGGTTTCATGAAATTGTCACACATAAAATTTGGATTGAGTCGAATAAATACATTGTGACATCGGGTTCCATAGTGAGTGAATTTTCCCACATTTTCACGCCTTAGATTTGTCAGTTTTTGTTTTATAATTAATAAGAGAAATATATATAATCTTATCACTAAAGTAAAAATCATAAGTAAATATTGCAATGTTTTGTGATGAAAATCAATATGAGGATAGAAAGGAAAGGAGGAAGATAGACTTGGTCCCCACCCAATCCTCATATATGGTTTGTCCTTTCTTTCTTTCTATCGTATTCTTTTCTTTCTACGTACTGTTCATCAATCATTCGTCAACTTAACACACAATTTTTTGAAGAGAACTTTTAATCGCCGTTAACCCTTACGTACCTTGGGGTAGTTGTTGAAGTTCTTACTGAGGATGTGGTGGACGTTCATCGGATCCACGGTGATGAGGAAGTCGACGCCGGCGAACCATGGTCCTCTGAACCTGAAAGTGCCTCCGCTCTGTTTCATGACTCTGGTGATGAACTCGTGGAAGAGGTCGTGAGATACGTTCCACAGCAAGGATGGAAGCATGCCGACGACCGGCCAGTTTGGTATAATAACGGCCTTGTTGTTGTTTTGGATGGCGAACCAGCCCAGGCAAAGGAAAGGGAGAAAGAGTACAAGTAGCAATAGTGTCGCCATTTCTTTATGTGGGAAACAGATCTT